TTTGCCTTGATGTGGCAGGTGGGCTAAACTCTCTCATTGCCATTGGAGAAACAAAATAACATCTATTTGTTTAAATATGCATAGGGATTTGGGAAGAGCCCAGGTAACTTTTTTCTTTGGTTTTTACTGTATGTATTGGGACTGATGTGTACTATGGTCGTTGCTGCCGCCCAGGAGTGATGGGAGTTTGAGCGCAGGACTTGTTTTTTTTGCATTTATATTGTGCCAACCTATATATATTATAACAGGGGAAAATGTAATGATAAATCAGATAAATTAGATGAATACAAAATGTTACAGGACTCTACTCAAACAAGCTTACAGTCTATTAAATATATTTATTATGTATGAACAGAATTTCATAGTGTAAATAACATATGGGGTTAATCAATAAACAGTGAATTTTTGCAAATGTAATGCAAATGGAAACATTGAGGCAAAAATATTCAAATTGTGGCAATGGCTGAGCTGGAGAATTTTTCTAAATCAGCTATTTTTTGCCTTAATTTAATTTGTGAAAATTCAAAGTTTACCGAAAAGTCCTGACAAACCATAGAGGACTAAGAAATGCCAATATAAATCTTGTTTCAATTCACAAATCATAAGGAGTCATACCTCCTTAAATGAAATGTTCTTTGTCTGTTTTAGGACTAGATAGTGCACTACCTGCATGCTGTATGCATTTAAGTGTGAGATGAAACATGCAATCACTTATAACAGTGAAAATGCCATAAAATAGTCATTTTATATGACATTCAGTTGATTTGTAAATTTTGCAATGTGAGAGTTTTCTCTATGAAGGGGTCATCTCTTGATATTTTATAATTTCATCAATATATAGCAGTACTCATTAGAAAGAATACATCAGCAATTCGACTGCACCCATTGCTTGTTATTGTTCTTAAATATGAAAATAAAACAAATAAAATGTCATGTTACAGTACTTTTTTTAACTGGAAATTGTTATACCTCCTTAAGGATAAGGATTGCAATTGATTCATTAAAGCTTAATTTTGCTAAAAAGTTCTTTTCTGAGACAGCATGTAGATTTTTTATTTGGGTCCTTCAAAGTGTTGTTTGGTTCTTGGGTTTCGTCATAGTGTACACTGCTGCTTATTGTGCCATTATTAACCTTCGAATGCAATTGTCCGTGTAACTAACCACTTTATTTCAATGGCTATGAATTTCAGTTTATTTTTATTTAGTTTTTTACATATCTTTGAGCTGTTCCAAAATTTGTATGTATTTTTATAGATTTGAAAAGCATCCTGTCTTGCAGATAATGTGCTGAACGATCTCCCAGTACTTGTACGGCAGTTTGGCATCTGGCCGCATACATATGGTGATCCCCAGAACAGTGTAATTTTTCCTTTTAGTCACTTCTTTTTGTTCAGAAGTGTAAGTGTTGGGTTTAATGTCTATTGATCTTTATGTTTGTGCTTCCTTATTTATGCGTTTGAAACCATTGTCTGCATTATTCTTGATTCCTTTTCGTATTTGTATCTCATGACAGATGCATAGATTTTGACCTTCTGTTCTTTACAACATATGCCATGGTGTACTTGTCATCACTCACCAAATATTTCTTCCCACTTGGAAAGAGGGCCTCATTGGCCTACACACATCACTGTGCATGTTCCATGGGTTGTGGTTTTTCTTTGTCTCTTAGAAATTTTAGTACATAACATTTGCTTTGACATAGCACAGACATTCAACTAGCTTGAGACATGACAGCATTATCGAGTGTTTGTTACATTCCACTTTGGAAGTTCCTTGATTTTTCTGGGTTTTGTTGTCCTAATTACTAGTGCCACATGAGAAATCACGAGTTGTAAGCAAACTATGTAACTGTTTGAGATGTCTTATTGTGCATGGTAAGTACTCGTTGTGCAAGTGCCTACTGCTAAGATTTCCTCTTTGATATTAATTGTGCTATCATTTCCTTTCAATTGCCCTGTGAGTCCATTGTTAGAGAAATATTTAACTGATAGAAGATTCCCTTGTACGTTTAGAAACATAAAACTCAGGAATTGATTTTCCTCTTTCTTGTTGCATGACGTACTTCAGATATCTATGAGCATTTCCTTCCACTGGTATGCACTTCCTATTAGCTAAGGAGAATTTCCACATTGACATCAACTTCTATGAATAAAGTCTCTGCATGAGGTTTTTGCACCTAGATCAACGTATCTTTCCATACAGTGTATGTAATTTCCTCTTGATGATCCCGGCACATTCCTCTCAGCTTTCCAGATGGAAGTGTTCTGTTTTGTTAGTTTGTTTTCAGAGAAAATATATTCTACCTTCTTTCTTTTGTTTTTTGGAACACATTGTTTTCCACAATTTCGTGTACAGTATTTATATGTCAATGCATTTTCTGTCACTTTTCCAAAATTAAATACAATTTCATAAATCGATTAAACTTACTATAATATGCTCATGGAGTTTCTATAATGAGATCCACATTCGTTTTGCTGTGTGTTACTTTTTAATTTGAGTTAGTAGATCATCAAGTTCTGACCAAAAAAAAAAAAAGCTAAAATAAAACATAAAATTTGAACTATATGTCTGTTCAACCATAATTTACCTCTTTCAGATTTTGTGTATCTACGCTTATTATATATTAATCTGTTCAGGAGGAACAGGACTTTCGTTGCACATCAAATGTTTATATGTGAAACATAATTTAAGATGAATAAAATAAAAAAATAAAAAAGTGTGAGAAATTGAGAAATTGTTATTTTCCAGGTTTTGCGTTGCATTTTAACTGTGGATTTCATAATGCCGTTAGCTTTTACTACAATAAAACAAACATGTATGATGTGATGTTCCATGAGCACAACAATATTTGTTTTTGCATTTTTCCCACAATAACTGCACTTTCTCTAATGATATAATCCTCACTATACATTTTACTGCTCTAAAACACTCATATTTGTGTTCAGCAATATCTGTTTAGTACAACTGTACCCCCCAATCACAGGTTTTATGGCTTGTATTGGTAAGATTGCCTGCAGGGGGACTACCTTGGTCAGGGCCGGCCCAAGGCATTGTGCTGCCTGGATTCCCCCTCCTCCCCCCAAAAAACCACACCAAGCAAAACATTGCCAACATACATTATGTTTTGCAGTGTGTGTAGTGAATGCAGTGTCTGTGTAGTGGATGCAGAGTGTGTATTTGTGTAGTGGATGCAGTGTGTGCAGTGTGTGCAGTGTATGTGGATTGCATGCAGTGTGTGTAGTGAGTGCATTGTGTGTCTGCATAGTGGATGCAGTGTGTGTATTTTGTAATGGATGCAGTGTGTGGATAGCAGATGCAGAGCATGTGTGTATATAGTGGATGCAGTGTGTGTGTATAGTGGATGCAGTGTGTGTGTATAGTGGATGCAGTGTGTGTGTGTGTGTGTATAGTAGAAGCAGTCTCAGTGTGTGTGTATAGTGGATGCAGGGGGGAAGGGGTGAAACAGTGAGGGAGGAGTGACAGGTGGCAGAGTGACTGAGGGAGGGAGAGGGTGACACAGTAAGGGGCATTTTGCCGCCCCTGTCAGTGGCAGCACCACGGGTTATGGACAGGCCCTGACATCAGTTGTTATGCAGTTCCCCCAAATGTGATCATTGTGGAGGGTAAGTGTCCTGGATGCCAAGAGGGCCTGACCGTTCGGGCATGCTATGCAACCGTAATGACGTTAAAGCCCTTGAATTATTAGGATGCCAGTGCCTGTGAAGTACATTATACACAAATTATGTTTGGATAGCAGCATACTTGCACATTTTATATGTAGTGGAAGCGTATACGCATAAAATATATATTTTAAAGTTAGTCTTATGAACTGATGCCTAGGCAAGCCCACCCCTTTTTTCCTTGAGAAGCCTCTGACTTGGTCAAAACGTGCATGCGTGCACGTCTGGAGCTGTGGAGCTGATCAGAGGTCTGTGAGGGAGGGGAAGGAATGCATGCTCAAGTAGAGCATACCTGCCACTCTCAGGGCAGCTAATGGAAATAGGAAGAAATCCTCCCTGGCTTTTTGATTGACAGCCAGGGGGAGTTCTATACTTAATTTATAAAAGTGCAGATTTTTCGTAGATATCAGCATTTTTATAAACTGGGGTTAAACAAAGGTACTCTCACCCATAAGGCACTTCCTTTATTGCTTTGATTGTGTGTAATTGTAAGAATAAATGTACAACATATGTAAAATACATTATATCTTTTGGAGTGTTTTTTTTAGAGAAGACTGATAAAAGTGTCTATAACAAGTTAGGCTTTGCTTATAAGCTATTTTATTTTTTACTATTGTGAAGTCTCTAATTTATTATTGATATATAATACTGTTTTTTTGTTGTTGTAATTTTGTTAAATCTAATTGTGCATATTCCTATGTGTTTAGAATGCAAAACAGTATTGCAAAAGTGATGGTAGGAGCCACTTTCAATCCCAGCAGCCACCTGGTGTTTTTGAGCAGGACGAGCAATCCCACAATGATAAGGCAACAAAGAAATTCCCCAGGCACTCAAGGTGTTGAAGCTGCAGGCAGTTTTAATGAAACAAAAAGAACAGCAACATTTCAACCTCCTAACATTACAACATTACAACATTACAAAGCAAACATGAGTGTATATATATATATATATATATATCAAACAGTGCAAACAAAATCCACCAATAATTCACTTGAGTAAAATTCATTAACATAAGTAATTAATGCAAATCATACAAATTACACACAATGTCTATAAATACAATGATCCATGGCTTACCTCTGTGTGTCAAAGGAGGGAGAGACAATAATAAAAAATAGTAAAGTATAAAAAAATACACAAGCGTACTCTAAAAAGAGAGGGCACAAGCGTTTGAACAAACAACACGAACCACCAATTATGTTGCGCTTGTGTCCCATGGCAATCTGCCGAACTAGTATCGATATGTGCATGCGTACAGCCGAAATCAGGCGTACAAAACGCCAATTATTATTATTATTATTTTGTAGCGCTTTACAATATTATGAGAGGGGGATTTAACTATACAGGGAGTGCAGAATTATTAGGCAAATGAGTATTTTGACCACATCATCCTCTTTATGCATGTTGTCTTACTCCAAGCTATATAGGCTCGAAAGCCTACTACCTATTAAGCATATTAGGTGATGTGCATCTCTGTAATGAGAAGGGGTGTGGTCTAATGACATCAACACCCTATATCAGGTGTGCATAATTATTAGGCAACTTCCTTTCCTTTGGCAAAATGGGTCAAAAGAAAGACTTGACAGGCTCAGAAAAGTCAAAAATAGTGAGATATCATGCAGAGGGATGCAGCACTCTTAAAATTGCAAAGCTTCTGAAGCGTGATCATCGAACAATCAAGCGTTTCATTCAAAATAGTCAACAGGGTCGCAAGAAGCGTGTGGAAAAACCAAGGCGCAAAATAACTGCCCATGAACTGAGAAAAGTCAAGCGTGCAGCTGCCACGATGCCACTTGCCACCAGTTTGGCCATATTTCAGAGCTGCAACATCACTGGAGTGCCCAAAAGCACAAGGTGTGCAATACTCAGAGACATGGCCAAGGTAAGAAAGGCTGAAAGACGACCACCACTGAACAAGACACACAAGCTGAAACGTCAAGACTGGGCCAAGAAATATCTCAAGACTGATTTTTCTAAGGTTTTATGGACTGATGAAATGAGAGTGAGTCTTGATGGGCCAGATGGATGGGCCCGTGGCTGGATTGGTAAAGGGCAGAGAGCTCCAGTCCGACTCAGACGCCAGCAAGGTGGAGGTGGAGTACTGGTTTGGGCTGGTATCATCAAAGATGAGCTTGTGGGGCCTTTTCGGGTTGAGGATGGAGTCAAGCTCAACTCCCAGTCCTACTGCCAGTTCCTGGAAGACACCTTCTTCAAGCAGTGGTACAGGAAGAAGTCTGCATCCTTCAAGAAAAACATGATTTTCATGCAGGACAATGCTCCATCACACGCGTCCAAGTACTCCACAGCGTGGCTGGCAAGAAAGGGTATAAAAGAAGAAAATCTAATGACATGGCCTCCTTGTTCACCTGATCTGAACCCCATTGAGAACCTGTGGTCCATCATCAAATGTGAGATTTACAAGGAGGGAAAACAGTACACCTCTCTGAACAGTGTCTGGGAGGCTGTGGTTGCTGCTGCACGCAATGTTGATGGTGAACAGATCAAAACACTGACAGAATCCATGGATGGCAGGCTTTTGAGTGTCCTTGCAAAGAAAGGTGGCTATATTGGTCACTGATTTGATTTTGTTTTGTTTTTGAATGTCAGAAATGTATATTTGTGAATGTTGAGATGTTATATTGGTTTCACTGGTAATAATAAATAATTGAAATGGGTATATATTTGTTTTTTGTTAAGTTGCCTAATAATTATGCACAGTAATAGTCACCTGCACACACAGATATCCCCCTAACATAGCTATAACTAAAAACAAACTAAAAACTACTTCCAAAAATATTCAGCTTTGATATTAATGAGTTTTTTGGGTTCATTGAGAACATGGTTGTTGTTCAATAATAAAATTAATCCTCAAAAATACAACTTGCCTAATAATTCTGCACTCCCTGTAAATAGGACAATTACAAGAAAACTTACAGGAACTATAGGTTGAAGAGGGCCCTGCTCAAACGAGCTTACATTCTATAGGAGGTGCCCTCTCTTTTTAGAGTGCGCTTGCCCTGATCCATCATATTTTTTTTTTTTACTTTACTATTTTTTTTTCTTGTCACTCCCTCCTTTGACACTCAGAGATACGCCATGGATCATTGTATTTATAGACATTGTGTGTAATTTGTATGATTTGCGTTAATTACTTATGTTGATGAATTTTACTTAAGTGAATTATTGGTAGTAGTGTAGGTCGTGAAATATTAAGCCCACGATACACTATAGTACATTGTTGTTAAAAAAAACAAAAAAAAAATATAGATAAATAACATTCAACTGGTTAATTTCAGAGCATTTTCTTCTTCTCACGGTATAATCTCACAGGAAAGTGAATTTTCATCACCAAGTATACCATGATAACCAAACAAGAGGTCATGAAGTGGGTCATTATTTAGCTATATTTTTTTTTTTTAAATCTATTTTTTCTGTGTATATTTTTTAACAAATTTTTAACATTAGTGTGCCATCCTGTATCTACATTTTGGCTTTCATGGTAATAACTGTACAAGGATGTTGGTATGCATACAGCCAAATTTATGTATCTATATGAAGCGGACAACTTATTTCTCTGTTTTTGTTTGTTAAATTTGAAGGGTGGTAACACAGATTTTGGAGTGGCTGTACTTAGTTATGTTGAACGCGCCATCTTTAAAGAAAGCAATTTGTTATTTCATAACCAAATATTATTTGTAAGCAGCAGTTTTTCAATCTATTAAAATAAGACAATTAAGTCACAATGCAAAGTTCCTCAAGGAACATAAGACTACATATGCCTACTTTTTATTTTTTCAGTACATTTTATTTCTAGAACTTATCAAGTGGTAATATTTTTCATTACACATTACATTTGATTGTGCTTGTGTGATTATTATGCAAATGAAAATGTCACTCTTACACAATGCAGTACTCTATTAAGCATCCAAATTTGTATATTCAATAAACATACTGTAAGTAATTAAATGGATTTCTATTAACACAAGGTAAATAATTGCATATTTCTAAGGATAATTTCTGGCTTATGATTTTGGAACCTCTTGAGAATTGTGGTAATGTGTAAACTACTAAATTATGGGACAGCTTCATGAAATCATAACACTTGTTTTAAATAAATAAATACATTTAAACGCCTTGGGAAAAGTCCTTCTTTGTTACACTAATTCTGAGACATCACATGTTTGCATTTCTCCCAGAAATCCCTGTTTTTCATGCTAATGAACACAGAAAGTCATCACGTTTCAGACGTCATCCTACATTTCTCAATGCACATTTATCAATGGATTAATGTTTTAATGAAAATCATTAGTTCTGATCCAAAAGAACCAACGACCAGAAAATAGGTTTGGACTACACAGTTTTACCTTTACAGATCTCATCATTATTATGCTGATCATAGTCTATGAGTAAAATATAAATGTTAGCATATAACTAGTTACAAAATAATTTGTGGTGAGACCAAATACCATAAACCTGTCCAATGGTTTATGCAAATTACAAATGTGCTGCATTATCCAAAAAAATCTCAAATACTACTTCAGGAAAAGTAAATCTGAAAAATCATGTTTCCACAATATATAATCAGCATTGTGAATAATGAAATGTATTAAATATTTATGTTACATGCCTAAACAAAACAATTATAAAAGAATGGTTTCAGATTTCACTGAAATATGAAGAATAGTATTTACTCAAAAAGCCATAATTAAGGTAATTAATATGTTAAATCTTATTTTCCCCCAGCCAGCCTCAGCTAATGATCATATTAGTCCACTGGATATTTCCTGTTTCCACAAAGTGCTATTAGCCTGCTAGATATACTCTGATCAGCCACAACATTAAAACCATTGACTGGTGATGTGAATAATGTGAATAACATTGATTATATTGTTGCAATTGCACCTGTCAATTGGAAGGAAGTACTAGGCCTCAAGTGAACATCCAGTACTTGAATTTCATGTGATTGAAGCAGGAAAAATGCGTAAGCGAAAAGATCGGAGTGACTTTGACATGGGCCAAATAGCGATGGATAGATGACTGGGTCAGAGCATCTCCAAAACGGCAAGTTTTGTAAGGTGTTACCACTGATTAGTACCTACCAAAAGTGGTGCAAGGAAGGACAACTTGTGGGGTGGTACCATTGGTTAGCACATGTTTGTATATAGAATTATTTTCCATATGCATTTCTCGGTAAATGAAACAAGCTAAAATTAACTAAATCTATATTAAGTGCATTCATGTTATAAAACTTTCTTAAATATGTCTATATCAAATATAGGAAAACACTCATATTTAACAAGCATACACCTTGTAAGGAAATCTATAGAAGCCCTACCTGCTTCTTTGCAAACATTTAACATTTTAGCAAATAACCTCCATGGTGATGAAATATACATATCATTACACTGAATAGTATAAATGCAAAGGTGAAGTCAAAAAGTTACTTAATTTAGATGATGATGTCAACCAAATTACATTTGGCAACAATTATAAGAAAATATATATTTTCTACACAGAAATAATATCAGAAGTATCAATTAATAATAATGTGTTTATACTAATAAGAAAAGGCATTGGTTCCAATAATATATAGTCTTAATGTTTACTGTATAGAAAACTAAGGAGTCTGGATGTATTTTTTAAATATTTGTAAGCATTATATAAACACATCTTCTGTATAATTTTACACTAATAGCTGTTATTGTTTCTGTTGTGATGTTATTGTAGAAATAATTAATCTAATCTGTGCCATGAGTATTTCATTGGGTATAATGAAAATATAAAAAAAAGAATACTTGTTATAACTGAAAAAGACAATGATCACATTTTTGTGGATGATTTGATATTAAGTTTAAGCTCAGACAAAATTCAAAAGGTCAAGCAACATGTTGAGGTCAACAAGGCTGCCCTAATTATTTCCTACATTGCGCTATTGTTCTAAACTTTGCAAAAGAATTGTCAACTTATGACAATTTACTGAATTGACATTACCATGGTTATTCACTGAAGTGTGAATTGCCAGTTATGCCTCTGGCACCATCCCCCAATTCTGTTCTACCCATTTCTAAGCGGTTTGACACAAACCAGTGTCTCCACAAGCATATTCCTATTGATATCACAGGACTCTCCATTGGAACACAAATCACAAATCTTTTTTAAGTACCTTTTAAGTACTGAGGAAACCAATGGTAGGAGTCACAGCGTATTTCTGATCTTCAGACGGAACTAATAATGCAATATTTCTATTATTTTTGCAAACTTTTTATTAGTCTTAGATAATGTAGATAAAGTATGATGGGTGCTGGGCTACACAGGCAAACACCATATTTTAAAAAAGTAATTGTCAGATTACATTATAACAACGATAAATAAATAAATAATTAAAAAAGAATGGTGTAAAAGTACAACCCTTACAGACCCCATGCTCCATAGAGATTTAGTCAAGACCATTATTCATTACTCTTAAGATTGGTGGAGGATGAGGTATTAACATTTCAGATAAAGTTGAAAAATGGAATACC